TTTTTGGGTTGTTCTCCCGCCCTGGCGGGGGGTCGGGCTAGAAGATCTATTAGGTCCCTTCCGACCCTAAAACTGTGAAACTATGAGGGTGGGCTCTGACACTTGCCAGCTGACGTGGCACATCACGGGATGTGGGCGCATCAGTGCTGGGAGCAGGGGCTCTGCCTTGCCACCGCTTGTCCAGCCGGGGCAGGGGGGAGCAGGATGTGGGCACAGTAGCCCTGGGAGTGGGGGCTATGCCCTGCTGCTACTTGTTCCCTTCCGCCCAGAGTGAGCTGTGTCTGCATCCCATCCCCCGCCCCCGCGCTGGCTGGGCAAGCAGCAGCAGGGCAAAGCCCCCGCTTCCAGTGCTGCCGCACCCACATCCCGTGCCCCCCTGCCCACCTCCTGAAGTTCTGCACCTCTGCCCCAGCTGTGCAGATTTTCCAAGCCCAGCCTCAATCCCCACTTCCCCCAACAGACTTACCAGCTGGAGGCAGCTGTGTCTATTGCCAAATCTTTTCCTAATAGTTTCAGATGCTTCGAATTGATTCAGAGGTTTTACTTGGTCTCCTGATTTGATTTGGATTCAGAGATTTGGTTCCCAAATTGGGCCGGATCTCCTCCAAATTGAATCAGCTACCGAAGCTTCGCACAGCCTTACTACACATGTGTAGCTGTATATATGGTACAACCTCTTCATCATGCAAGAAAAGCTACCCTGTGATTGGAATAATGTCTAAAACCTGACTAGGTTCTCTGTCTCTTTATCTGTCCATCAATTTTAATCAATATGATAGGACAGCATATCTTGGTGTGTAAGCCTTTTATATTGAGGAAGATGCAGTTTGCTTTTCTAACCCATGGGGAGTGTACTTGCAGGATGATGGGTCTTTATAAATGCTGGTGTAGCAGTAGCATTTCTTTCCTTTGCAATTTTTAGTATAAAATTGAGGATTTTTTCTCATTTTCATTATCCTTTTATCTGTTTACAAGGAATGAATGAGGAAGGTTGAATCTCTGGCTTGCCTAGGAACCTGATTTCGGGAAAGAGATATGTTTTTGGTAAAATTCATTTCTCTGTTGCATTGTTTTTCCTTGTAGGTCAGGAGTTGGCAATGTTTTTGGGTACATTGCCAAAAACACCTGCGACCTTGACTTGTAAGATGTTGGTGTGCCAGGGGCGGACAGTGGGGGAGCCATGAAGAGCCCGATCCTTGTTGTGACAGCGCAGCCCTGGCAACTTCCCTGCCATCTGCCCTGAGGCATGCATGTAAGTGCTGCCAGCAATGAGCTTGGCCAGGGCTTCATGGACCATGGTGCAGCTGTTTGCAGCCTCCTGACTGCCTGCTTCAGCCAGCCCAGACTCTGGGTTCGCCCCTGCTGCCTGTGAGCAGCTGCACTGGGATCTATGGAGCCCCAGCCCAGCTTGTTGCCAGTGGCAGGTGCATGTGTGCCTCAAGCCACATAGCGGGGAAGGGGTCAAGACTTCTGTGCCACAACAAGGATCGGGCCCCTTGAGACTCCCCTGCCATCTGCCCTGAGGCGTGCATCCCAAGCAAGATGCCTTGGTGTGCTACTGTGGCATGCGTGCTAAGGGTTGCCTACCCCTGTTCTAGGCTAGGCTTATTATATATCTGAAAATTCTGTTTTTAGACATTCTTTGTCATACCTTCCTCTTATGAATTTTCCGGTTTTTTTTCTTCTTCTCAGAAACAAGATACTGGTCAGATTTTGTTGGATATGGCTTATAACCACTTGGGTGTGACAGAGAAGGAATATTTTGGTTTACAGCAAAATGAAGAGGCAGTAGATTCCCCTGTAAGTACACTGTTAACTTTTTCTTAAAATAAATGCATAATGACTTTTTCTTTGGAAAAAAAAAAAATCCATCTAATTTTTTTTTTTTTTTACTTCACAGCGGTGGCTTGAAACGAGCAAACCTATCAAAAAACAGCTTAAAGGTAAGATATTTTTAGTACTTGGCAGACAAAAACTTCTAATTGTTTTTAAGCCTGTTCTAGTTTTCTTGATTAGCTTAAATATTATCCATGTGTGAAGTAAACTTTTGGATATCATTGCCTTGCTTACTAAACCTTTTTGACAAAAATTCCCGCAGCTCTTACCACTGCTTGGCTGCAGATCAGGAACTGTAGGTTGCTTATGATGTTACTGCTGTGATATGCAGATGTAGCAGTAAAAACAGTAGCGGTCTGGAGGCAACAGTATATGATGTAGTAGTACAAACAGTAGCTGTATGGAGGCAACAGTACAGTATTATTACCATTGATGTTGACGGTAGATTTGAGCCTGAAAAAGTTCTTAGACACAGTCCTAAGGAAAAAATAGTAACCCTGAGGCGAGCTTAAACCATTTTAGGTAAAATTCCTAGCCTGGTCAAAGTCGATCAAAACTAGTCATTCTATAGTGGTTAATTTTTAAATTCCATCTTAAAACTATGAATAGGGTATAACTTTCTTAGTCGGAAGAGTTTATTGATTGTTTATGGTAACAGCATAGCTTTCTGTCTTTCCTTTGAATGCAAATGTAGTCTAAGTTATTGATAGTCCCGTCTGAGTGAAGGTTAGTAACTTTAGAATTTTGATTGATGGTATGAAATTGCTGTACCATTTGGATGCTTTGCTGTATGTGAAGCCAGTTATTTGTAGCCAGTACTGAGTCTTCAGACCAAGATCAGTTGAGTACAGGTTTCCCTTGATTTCTTCGTCGGCTCAATTTATGCAAAGTCGCTCTTATGCGATGACCCTTTTTATACCTGAAATTCATTATATGCGAGGTAAATTTGCTGTTACGTGATTGGCATAGGTGCGCTCCCCCAAGTAGGTAAGTTTGTGAGGGGAGGGGAAAGAGCCATGGGACTGGAGCCCCACTCACCACAACCCCTGCTGCAGCTGCTCTGGGAGCAGCTGATGCCAGCGGCTTTCTGCCGCTCGGTTGCACCATGCCCTGAATCCCCGGGGCTCTGCCCTGAACCCCCCAGCACAACGTAGCCCAGCAGCTGCAAGTAGTTGGCATCCACCGCTCCCAGGGCTGCAGCAGGGACAGGCAGCAGCTTGCAGTGTATGTGCAGGCTCGGGCCGTGCGGCAGCACTAGGCTCTTCCCGGTGCTCAGGGTGGGCTGTAGCGATGGGAGGGGGGCTTCTGCCACCCCAAAATTCACCGTAGCACCTGCCCCCCCCCCCGCCACCCGCCCCCCCAACCCCGCCGCC